GTAGCTTTCCATTGGTGAAAGGTTTTTTTTTTAATCGGTTGAGTGGCTTAGGTGTGAAAGCGTAAACAACACTTTCTCGTTCGTAATGTCATAATAATAGGTTTTTTTCATGCTCACACGGGCACGATACCTATGCCTAAACTCCAGTTTAAACATTTTTTGTCCGTCTGTCTGTTTGTTCCGGGTTTCTAAACGGCTGGACCGATTTGTATTTTATTTTACTACCAGGTAGCTGTCTATATAAGGAGTAACTTACTTTTCCTCTTAGAAAAACCCTAAAAAAATTTACTCGGTCCGGGTATCGAACCCAGTAACAGCGCTTTTCAAATTCCAAGCGAACGAAGTGGCGGGTAACAGCTAGTTTATAATATGTATGGATTACAAACAGACAGAACAATGATCGTGCTCATAAAGGCGGATACAGACATTGCGTGCGTCACGCCGTTCACTGCACAGGACTACACTACTGCACACTGTACTATTTGTCATGGCTGGGAATCAAACCTCCGGCCTAGCATTCAATTCACTAATCACTAAACCAACAAGCCAGTCAACAGTTTAATAAACATACATACATATCGCTCATTTGCTACAAGGTCGACTTATCTCAAAATTGATGATTTTTTAGTTAATAACACAGTTGTGTAGAAAACATTGCGCTCCATTTACTGTAAAAACCCTATTTCTCTTAAGTCTTTAGTTACGAAGACAGAGCAAATATTCACAGTTGTGCTGTTATAGCACTGTCTCTTTCGTTCAAGTTACTTGCGGCAACAATGACATTATTTAGTTGCGATGTGACAGTGCGAGCGGTAGGCGGTACTTGTGCTCTTGAAGAACGACATTTCTTAAGTAGTAACGCTTTTGCCGGTAAGTTAACTACAATTTATTTTAATATATTTTCAGAAATAATGTGTTTAGTATAAATGTGTCGTTAATGCAGATAATATTTGAATAAATCAGTACAGGCTTATTTCGTGTTAAGACGATGTTGCTTAAAAAATTAATACCCATTAGAGTATTATTACTAATTATGACGTTGTTGTTAATAAAGAAAACGATGATTGAATATTACAATAAAAAATATCTATACTTATGTCATTACACTTAAAAGTAATTTGCGTTATTTATTGTAAAATATTACAACATTTTGTAATAAAACGTTTAAGTCAATAATTCGAGTCACGTTTTTTTATTTATGTTGTTCTCATAATTTATTATAATTTTTTGCATTTTAGGTGATAATGGTGTTGCCACGTGTTTCTAGAGGCAAAACAATTGTAGCATTAATAAACAATCATAATAACTCGTCCAATGAACAAGTTACGTCTGATGAAGCCAGTATGTACTAACTTTTGTTTTCTGATGTAATTATTGTTGTTCTCGCGTATCTACATAGAATTAAACTATATATATACAACTTAACAGGTAATGAAAGAGCTAAACAAACAACACAAGAAATGAGATCTTTATCAAATGAGAGTAGTTCTTCTACCAGCTCGTCATCTGATTCGGATTCATCAGATGATACGTTTATTGAAGGTTAGTAATTTAATTATTGTAGTAAATCAAATGTGCTTACAAAAATATTAAATTAAATATTAAGTTTGTATTTATTTTGCAGATAGTGACGACTCTGTCAAAGATCCAATATATATTCCACCTATTCAGCAGAATAGTGCTGAGTTAATCGAGACAATTGACTATTCAAATCCATTACCATCTACTTCAACAGCAGATAAAATCATAACTATTTCCAAACCCTCTCTTCTGAAGCGCAGTCCTGAATTGCCAGCCGAACAGACAAATGATAATTCCATTGCTAATAATAATTTTCATATTCCATTGTCATGTCAAACTTCAACAGAAAATAGCATCATAATTTCGTTTCCTACAAGCCCGAAGGCAAAACTAGGAAAGAAACGTAAAAGGAATGAAGCAAATTGGCACAGAAATGTAAAGAAAATGCTACGGAATACTGGACAAGCTTATGAAACTGCTAGCAAGAAAATAAAAGAAGAGAGAAAAATGAGAGAACCATGTGGAGATAAATGTCGGTTAAAATGTAAATCTAAACTATCTGAAGATGATAGGAAGTCATTATTTAACGAATATTGGGCATTAGGAGATAATAAAAAACAATGGGAATACATTTCAAAAAGTATGACGATCATTACACCAAAATATCGTTACATTCGTGAAGGAGGAATAAGAAAACCTCGTCAAAAGAATCGCGCGTTTCATTTCAAGCTGCCCGATAAAACGATTAGAGTTTGTAAAATTTTCTTTAAAAATACCTTAGGAATTAATGACCGGCCAATCCGCACCGTTTTAGAAAAAGAAGACAAAGTGGCGAATTGTCTTTTGGCGGATGACAAACGCGGTAAACATAACAAACATCCTCGAGTCAATGAAGCAATAAAAAATGGGATTCGTGAATACATAGAGTCTATACCAAAAATTGAGTCACATTATACAAGAGCCAATACAAGCAGAGTTTTTATAGATGGCAGTAAAAATATTGCTGACATCCACAATGACTATGTCGCAATGCAACAAGAAAAAAATTTAGGTTATGGCAATTATGTCCTTTTTTACAAAATATTTACTCAAGAATATAACATATCTTTTTTTAGCCCAAAAAAGGATATGTGTGATGTATGTGCTATCTTTAAGAACTCTGATAATAAAGAAAATCTCAAAGATGAATATAATAAACATTTGAAGGAAAAAGAACTATGTCGCGCAGAGAAAGCAAAAGATAAAGAAGATGAAAATATTGTAACAGCGGTCTACGATCTCCAGGCAGTATTTCAATGCCCCAAAGGCGATGTATCAGTCTTTTATTATAAATGTAAGTTGAATGTATTAAATTTTACAATTTGCGATTTAAGAACAAACAAAGTAGAATGTTATGTTTGGGACGAGTCGAACGCTAATAGAGGTGTAAACGACTTGGGGACTTGTGTATATAGGTACCTAGAACAGCTTTCGTTCATTAATAATGACAGGCAACTTAACATTGTCTTTTATTCTGACAATTGCGCAGGGCAGCAAAAAAACAAGACAATGATTGCTATATATTTATTCGCTTTACAAAAGTTCCATAACCTCCAAAAGATTACACATAAATTTCTTATAAAAGGGCATACCCAAAACGAGGGTGATGCAGCACATTCATTAATAGAAAGACAAATAAAAAAGTTGCTTAAAGCTGGACCTTTGTACTCACCAGAAGCCTTTATTGGTGCTGTAAAAACGGCTAGAAAAAAACCGGCGCCATTTCATGTCAATGAAATGTGCACAGAGGATTTTGTGGATTGGAAAGATGCTTGTACCCAAATGGGATTGAATTTGACGAAGGATGAAGAAGGAAATTCAGTTAAGATTGGAGATATAAAAGTTTTTAAGGTTGAAAAGGATAACCCACGCTTATTATTTTACAAGAACTCTTACGAAGAAGAAAAATTTAAAAGAGCAGAAATTATCAGAAAGAAGAAAAGGATTGACATAAACGTCAGGAAAGCTTATGATCGTAAGCCAGGCATATCGGACAGAAAGAAAGCAGATTTATTAGACTTGTTAAATAGAAAATTAATTCCACAGTTCTATGCTCGATTTTACAATTCCTTGTAGGCTTTGTAGGATTTTTTTAAATATTATTTTGAATTTTATGTTCATTTTTCGTTAGACTGAAATTTTATTATGGATACTTGTTTTGTGATAACAACACTTTTTACTACTAAGTTTTCAAAACTAAGTGAATGAGAACTTAATAATTGAGGCTGATTTTGTGATACTTTTACTATAAGGATAACTAAATAATGTAGAAGAGTTGATTTAAAAGACTGATGGTGTGCCATTTAAATTCGATAACTTAGTTAGATTTAAGTGTAATACCTTCCTACCTAATAATTTTATAATGAGAAAGATATTAATGTGACTATATTGTAGTTTACTTTTGTTTCCGATATTAATAAATATTTTTCAATATTGACATATTTTGTTATTATTACTATCAAGTTGACCTCAAATGTAAAATAATTATCGAGTATAACGTCATAAATCATAATACTATTTTTTTTTTTGTATATTTATCAGCAACAATGACATAAGTATTTCCTTGCTGCGAAAAAAATAGCACAGTATATCATGTGTACTTTATTAGCAAAATTTAATATTTTAACAGAAAAGTATATCAATCGCACATTATTTATGTCTAAATTTTTTTTCTAAAAAGCCAACGCTTGTCAAATATATTAAACAAGAAACTTTAAAATTGCTCTCCTGTAAAATGATATCTTTTGAGAAATGTCGACCTTGTTGCAAATGAGCGATATATATTCCTAAATACTGTACAAATTATAGATAAATTACACCCAGACACAGAACAAATAGTCATACTAATAACACAATATTTGTCCTGGGTGAAAATCGAACCCACGACTTCTAGATCGCAGTCAGAATGACTGACCACTAAACCAAGAAGCCGGTCAGCACACTTATTGTATTTTACACTATAATAACGTCACATATCTCACTACTCATTCTCAACTTGACAGAGCCCGTGCTATGGTAACCAGACTGCTGATAAACATACTTATATATTACTAAATATCAGCTCCGGATGTAGGGGGGGGGGGGGGGGGGTTAACCAGTTCAGTTTCAGGAGGCGCCAAAATCTTATTAAATAAAATAAACTCACCGTCGACTTGTAAGAAAAAGTCGCCACACTACAAGTGAACTTCTATATTTGTGAGTTTTTTTTTAAGTAATTTGTCTCAAACACTGGAGAGAGCGACGCCTCTATCAAGTTTCTGCCCCGGTTCGAAAAATTCGTACATCCGGAGCTCTAAGTGCATACATAGTATATATAAATTACACCTAGAGACAGCACAATCATCACACAATCATTAGTCCTGGGTGGGTACCACGAACTCCGGTTTAGCAGTCAGGTTGACCACCACCACCCCAACAGGCCCGTCACTTTATAAGACACATTAATCGGAATCCTCTCGATCATAACTGATTTTATTCGATTTAATCTGTCTAAAAATATGAAAGAAATCACTTGTAGGTGCCAAGGCGCCTTTACTGACCCAGCATTTAAGCGACTTAGCCACATCATCGGTCTTAATATTAACTGATAGACTTATCTGTTTGTCCAAACGGCTTCTATCAAAGAAATTCTTCGTTGTTTTTATATTTAAGTCGGTTATCAATGGAGGGTCTGGTCCCAGAAGATTTTCTACATAATTTTCATCGTATGCTTTGTTGGTGTAGTCTATGCCGGTGTTGGTGATGATTGGGACCGGAGCGTATTCAGGTATTTCTGTCAAGTGATCAGCGTTCGCTGTCCAAGAGCCGTTGTTGATGCGCAGGAGTGATTTCACATCGCGTCCGTATAAGTTGGCGTTTACGTATTTCTTGTAGCCCAGACCTGTAAAAAATAATTATCTATATAAATAAATTTGAAGTGTCTGTTTTTAATGTCACAATGATAGGTCACACGGTTATTTGCAGTTTAAGTATTGTTTGTCTGTCTGTTTGTTCTGGGTAATCTTTAAACCGGATGGACAGATTTTGATAATATTTTACTACCAGGTAGCTGTCTATATAACGAGTAACTTAACTATTTATCATCATAGAAATTTTTGCCCGATCCTCTAATCGAACCCGAGACCTCATGGACTGCAGTCACGTACGTACGGTACACACACACAACTAAGGTTTTTTAAATTCCAAGTAAACGAAGTCGCGGAAGTCTATATATATAAATTTGATGTATATATAAAACATCCAAAAACAAACAACAATTAAGAATACGGAGTGTCACTACCCCTATTCATCACAAGGGTATCGACTAAGGGATCGAACCACAACACTCAGCGCAGTAGGAAGCGTAATAAAGAGTAAAGAAACAGTAATTGCCTTCTACACAAGCTTTCAGAAGCCCTGCCATAGAGGTGCTTGATACCAATGCCACCGGTTCCCCCGGAGGTGTTGCCACATACAGGATAGATCCTTCCTTTTGATCGGAGACCAGTTGTACACTTAAATACATAAGATCACCCAACAGCACAGTTTGGACCTGAAAACAAACATAATATATTGGGGGCCTGTTGGTCGAGTGGTTAGTGCCCCTGACTGCTAAGCCGGAGGTCGTGGGTTCGATTCCCACCCAGGACAAATATTGTGTGATGAGCATGATCATTTGTTCTGTGTCTGGGTTAATTTATCTATAATACGTATGTATTTAAAAATATATAAGTATGTTTATCAGCTGTCTGGTCACCATAGCACAGGCTCTGCCTAGTTTGGGATCAGACGGCCGTGTGTGAAATGTGTGAGGTATATTATATATATTATTATTATTTCTTTATTTCATTCTTTATACATATAAATTACATTTTTAAATATATTTATATACAAAAACAAAAAATAAAATACATTTAAAAATATAAAAAATAGTATCCCATCGGTAACGGGTACAGAGACCAAGATATCGGTGGTTAGGACTCCAGAGACAGAAACTTCCTCACAATACGTGCCGTATCGAGAAGAACTGCTTTCTGCATCTGACCCTTAATCCAACTGCCTAACGCGAGCCTCTGAAGATGTTGGTCGAGGCTCTTAGCAACTAATCCATGGGCCGATATGACTATCGGTACAACGATTGCCGAATCAACATCCCACATGTCGACAATCTCGTGGGCTAAATCCAAATACTTCACTTATTTATCTTTTTCAGCTTTCAAGAGATTGTCGTCATGTGGAATGGTAATGTCAACGATCATTGCTCGGCGCTCCAATCGGTCTATTACCACTATATCAGGTTTATTGGCAACAATAGTCCTGTCAGTGATAATAGGGCGATCCCAGTACAACGTTGCACGACCATTTTCAAGAACTGGGTCGGGCACATATTTGTAGTACGGTAACTCTACAGTCACAAGGTTATACTTAAGAGCAAGTTGCTGATGGACAATCCTGGCCACTTGGTTATGTCTATGCAAGTACTCGCCGTTGGCAAGACGAGAACAACCGGAAATTATATGTCTAAGGCTTTCACCAGGACAATGACATGCCCGACAAATGTCTATTGTGCCGTCCTTCAGGATATACTTGAGATAATTATTCGTCATAACAACTTCATCAGTAATTGCAAAGACAAAACCTTCAGTTTCCCCGAAGAGGTCACCGAATCGTAGCCAGAATACAGACGCTATTTGATCCACCTCAGGCCTGTTCAAGGCTCGATAAAAACGTCCATGCAGCTCTTTGCCCTTCCATACCTCCTTATGATTATGATGATGAGTACTGTTGAGTACTGAAAATTTGCGCCAGTTCTCTTTACCTAGACCAAGCGGAGTGAGTCCGTTATCAACTGATACTACATCCCTATGAATATCCACATTAACAGAAAGGAAGTAATTCCTAAGGTTACATATCTCACGATTGTGGAGGGTCTTGGCATTTAGAAAACCACGACCACCACATTTTCGTGGAATATATAACCTCATCACCGATGAACGTGGATGATGCATTCGGTATGCAGTAAGCAATGTACGAACTCTTCTATCCAGGGTATCTAGTTCAGTCTGAGTCCATCTAAGTATGCCAAAAGAGTAAGTTAGAACTGGTATGACCCAATTATATGCTCTCACCTTATTACCACCTGATAAAAGACTATTTAATACTTTTTTCAGGCGGCTGAAGAAGCGTTCCTGTATCGTTACAGGAACGCTGTTTCATAGTCAACTCATTTACACCTAACGCCTGTGACATACCCAGATATTTGTAAGTTTCGTTAGCTGAGAGACATGTAAAGTGCGTGGAATCTGAGAGTTCCAACCTATCAGACTCCACAACCCTGCCTCTTTTTACATGCATGATTGCACACTTATCTACACCAAATTCCATCCTGATACATTTACTAAAGGTTTTAGTTATTTCTAGTAAATTCATCAGTATGGAACTACTGGAAGCAAACAGTTTTAAATCATCCATGTAAAGGAGGTGGGATATAACCTTACCATCTCACTGCAAACGATAGCCTAGCCCTGAACCCTCCAACATAGTGCTGAGAGGATTTAAAGCTAAGCAAAACCACAAGGGACTTAAACTGTCACCCTGAAATATACCCCGCTTAATCATTATATATTCACCATCGCCTTGAGATTGCCGACATCCTGGATAGCAAAGAACCGTTCTCCATTGCCGCATACATGTCTCCATAAAAGTGCATAAAGTTGTATCAATCTTGTACAACTCCATCACCCTCAAGAGCCACGTATGCGGTACAGAGTCATAAGCCTTTTTATAATCTATCCAACATGTCGACAGATCTTTTCGGTTACGACGAACTTGTTGGTTAATAATCATGTCAATAATAAGGAGTTATTATTGACATGATTATTATGATTATTATTAGTTATTATTATTATTATTACCAACTGGGAATTTTTGTGTGGTGACAGATTCAGAATACGGAATGTCACCCCCCTATTCGTCCAATGAACTACGCAGGACAACGGCACTGCAAAGCGAAGAAAAACTTGAAACAAACCCTATACCAATCCGTCTGGTCAGCGTGGTATAGTACAGTAGGCTAAAACTTCTTCCTAAGGAATAGCTAATAACCAAACTCATCACACAATTATTTGACCTGATTAAGAATCGAACCCACGATCTCCAGCTTAGCTGTCAGGGTTACTAACCACTAGACCAACAGGTCTGTCTGATGGCACAAAAGTCCATTAAATGATAATTCAAGTTAAACGGTCAAAATTATTATCTTTAGTATGTGTAAAGTTAGACTGGAGGAGGTTACCTCAGGGCGCATGCCTCTTTTGTTCTTCCGGAGGGTCTGCATCACTCTTCCTTGGAGGGCTCTGATAGTGTTAGTCACCGGTTCATCTGTGGTCTTTTCTGTGAGACGGATCACGTGCCAATTTCGAGTCTGGGTTGCCACCACTGAAATTATCATTTTGAAGGAAAAAAATACATGTATAAAAAAGTAGTGAATTAATTTATAAATACATACTAGTATTGTAGTTGTCCGTGTAGTGACAGATTAAGAATACGGAATGTCACTACCCCAATTCATCCAGTGGGTGTCGTAAGAACCGATTAAGGGCGCAAAACAACGCAGGACACCAGCACTGCAAAAAGACGGGAAACTTGACACAAACCCTATACCAACTCGCCTGGCCAGCGTGGTATAGTATAGGCCAAAACCTTCTTTCTAAGGAGAGGCCTATGTCCAGCAGTGGACTATTAAAGGCTGTTGATGTGATGTGAGACACACTATATATTAATAAATTAATTCACGACTTTTTTCTTCATGGTAAGTAAAAAATCATTAGATTCCTTTTTACAAAAACCCTTTTCCCATCCGAAAATTGCATCCCCCACTACCTATCCATTGCCCTCACCCCAATTTTTTTTTAAGGATAGAGTGAAAGTAAAGGAAAGATGGAATGTTACTACCGGTGGTACTCATGAACGCCTTGGAGGAAGGAGTACCCTCTTTTCTTGAAGGTTTGTTGGTTGTATCAATCGAATTTAGGAGTTATTAACTTACATTTGAGACGTAGTCTTGCAACAATATCCTCAATTTCATCTCCACTGAGTGCTTTAGCAATATGTCTGCACAACACACGGGCTACACTTGCTGGTTGCATCGGCAGCCTTGCATTGCGGACTGCTTTGGACACATCTCGCCAACGAACACCAAACTCAGGCAGGGCTGCCACACAGAATAATTCTAAAGGCATCCTGCTAATAATGGTTTGGAGTTCAGACAGTTCTGTAACATAAAAGGATTTTTATTTAGAAGCAAAAATATTTATTTCATTTACAAAAGCTGTTGTTGCCGGACTATTAATATTTAGATGCATTATGGTGTTTTTATTGCCCTGATACTGCACTGGGAAGAGACTTTCCTCTCCCTGATATTAACGACACACTATAAAGTTCATCACCTTACCTACAGATCCAGCTAGATATCAAGATAGAGACTTCTAGCCTAGTTTTGGAATCAGTACCAGTACATTTTTTCTTTTCCTTGCAGTGATATTATCCTACGTAGTTTATTCTGTCCTTGTGATGACAGATTAAGAATACAGTGTCGCCACTCGTATTAATTCTATGGGTGTCGTAAGAGCCACTATGGGAGCCAACTATGCAGGACAATAGCACTGCACAGAGAAGGAAAACAAACCCGTCTGGCCAGCGTGGTATAGTAGACTATTACCTCCTTTTTAAGGAGAGGCCTATGTCCAGCAGTGGACTATTAATGGCTATTGATGATGATGATGATTAGTACATTTTGTAATAAAAAACCTAAGACTTAAGAAGTAACTTGTGCCAATAAACAATTTTTATTTTTTACTTTTTACTTAGTTAATTTTTTTTTGTAATTTAATGTAGTCTGTATTTTGTGAGTGTATTGTAGTTTATAGTTTTTTTATTTATATATAGCAGTAAATAAGGTACTGGAAATTTGAACATACAAATAACATATCAAGTTATGGATTACAAGAATATGTTTAGGAATACAATAGCACGGATGGTGTAGTGGTTTTAGTGTGTGATTCACAAATTGTTGTTCTGAGTCTGGGTGTTCTTTGGGTCCATTTCATGCATGTTTGTAAAAACTCCGCGAGAGTTGTCTTTAAAAAAAAATTAAAAAAAAATTGACCATTAAGACTGTAGCTGCATTAGACTTGTAATCTATATCTATCTAATCTGTTGTAGTTGTAAGCTATGAAGCTTAATAATTACTATTTTCTTTAAAATGGCGTATCTATTGCAGAAACATGTCATGAGGCCTTTACAAATGCACATAATTTAGTATGTTTCTATTTTTGTATAGTCATATCATCATATAATAGCCAAATTGAGGGCAGAAAGACTCGTATTTCTAAATGCTAAATTCTACAATTTTTACACCAGAGACAAACAATTTCAATTTCAAATTTTTTTCAACTCAAAGTTTTTTTAAATAACTTTCATTAATATTTAACATAAGAAGTATACTTAACTATAACTGGTCTTAGATTAGATTTAAATACTGCATATATAAGGGGAAGGATAGTAAATATTTTTTAGCTGTTTAATTATTTTAGAGGGTTAACATATTTAAAACTTAAGTTGAGCGTGATTAATAAACACAAGTTTGACGATCGCGTTTAAATACAATATTAACTTACTGTTCTTCGTTGAACCCTGCATCTTGATAAATGGTTATCATCCAAAAGAATTTAACACGTGCTATGGCGAAATAAACACTATTTATGTCAATATAATAAACTCTTCAACATTCAACTGCGACAGATAAACACAACAACGTAAACATTACAGCCGTTTGAAGATGACATATATTCAAATTTAAAGTGATATTCTATACCGTTTCGTTCGACGAAGAATATTTGGTATGAAAGCAATCATAAACCACATTCGGGCCATCAGTAAATCAAATTTATTAAATTGCACACTTATTACTTAACAGCACTGGCTTCATATGGTTTCACATTTTTCAATAAGGTTTTGCCAATGTAAGTCACGTAAAGTTATTTTTCGACGGGTTGGTTGCAATACATTGTTCATCAACATGCAATGTGTATCATATCTTTTTTCTTGCTTTCCTGCAATCTATGAAATCTGAGGGCTGAGTACAAGTTTATTTCATATCGTCTCGCTTTCGAGGGCGAGATTTCATGTAAATATTTGAAAAAAAAAAAAAAAAAAACCTTAGTAAAATTTTTAAAGATTAGATTAGTTACTTACGACTTACGAAACGAAAACCGTCACGGGTGATTAGCAGATGTGAAACATCTAAATATTTTTTTAAATTTTTTAACGTAACTGGTTTCATTTTTTGACTTCCAAGAAAAAAGGTTCTCAATACGATTGTTACCTAAAGCATTTTGTCGTTCAGATTACTGATTTGGACAATTCATACTGATTTTTGGTAAATTGGAAAATCTACTATCCCTTAGTGTAGTAAATTGGTGAAAAATAAAGGAATGAAGATACAGTTTATTACAATTTCATCATCGTGATTAAGGCGCCTGGAAGTATTTTTTTATGAAATACGGAGCAAACTAGCAGGGCCTTCACCTGATGAAAGTGACTACCGTCGTTAACGCCTGCAACTGAAGAGATAAAAGTGCGTAGCCACTTAGTCGTAGTCCACCCTTGAGTGGACCTAAGGAACACACCACCTAAGGAAATTTAGGTATCTGGTAACCTCATCTACTCGATACAAAGCAACCAAAGAAAATTGCTCATGCCGAATTTCTCTGAGGACAAGCCGGTACATGGCTCTCCCATAGATACAAAAACTTTGGGTTTAGATATGGTAGTTCAGACATTGATAGTCCGGAGATAGAGGTTATTAGAGGTTGATACTCCTGTAAATAGAAATGGTTCATTTTACGATTTAAACACACACTTTGGTAAAAGAGTATACAAGAGCAATTTAAATTAGGATTTTTACAGTATAAAGCGTTACTCTCTATTCTATTTAATTAAAACAACAATCGCATATTTTTTATCAAAGAGGATCAGGTCGTCATTGAGGTCGAGTTAAGAACTAGTACTCAAAAATATTTTCACTACTGATATTATGTTGGCAGCCCTGGCAACCTGCTGGGGTCTTCTTTCTTTGGTATGTTAAATACTTGAAATAAAAACACCAGATCATTTAATAACTATAATATACAGTTTATTATAATAAGATTAAATGCAAAAAGATAAATTTCCATACCTCTTATAAAAACATACCAATTTATAATCACTTTCTTAAAATGTAGTGATTAGTCTCTTTTTTTTCACCACTCGATTTTAATTATGAATATTTTGACGTGAATTTTGGCGCCAACGGCTAGTTTTGTTCACAAACAATTTTTATTAACCTATTTTAACATTCAATCAATACAATATATTTCTTTTTGCATTTAATAGCTAGACTTATACTATTACAAAATAATGACATTTTCATTAGAATAAATAAGCTTTTACTGTTTAGTTTAAATAAATCAAGGAACATTTCTTTTTAAACAAGTTTGAATTTTAAAGGATACGATTTACTGTATTGGCATTTTGCAATGTCTAGTGGTAACGGCCACATGCCAATGGGTTTAATTGTCATAGTGAAAACGCAATTTGCTTTAAAATTAGTCACTTAAAAGTAAAGCAGCGGCAAATGGGCACAGGGTTTTCTAATCAATTCTAATGGTATTTTTAAAAATATTTTATAAAGCATTAAAACTAAACGCATCTTTCTTTTCTACGTACTTTTTTTTACGTGTGGAAACCCCCTTTGGGTCGTCACCCCACCGGGGTTTGCGGCGGGGTGGTGTGTCGGAATCGGACCGACTAAAACCACGGTGTGCCACTCTTCGCCTGGAATAGGAGGGATCCGGGAACTGCTGTTATTAAGACATCCGGACCCCTCCTAGAGTTCTTTACTACGTACTGAGCTGATAGCCTGTGGAACCGTATTAATTCATATGTACAGTAAGTAAAGGTTGTCAGTTTTTTGTAACTTTTTTAATTTCAATCTTGGCAACCCTGCGTCGTTCTTTATGTTTGTACCTGATGTTTACGCTTTGATTTTGATCTGAATGTTAACAATTAAAATTAATATTTAAAAACTTATTTCTTTATTTTATGTTAAGTAGATCATTTTGACAATAACCAATTAAGTAGGAAGACATTTTAATATTAAACTTTAAACAAAAAATTATTACATTCACTATGATACGTAGGACTCACTTATATTCACATCTTGTGCCCAAAATTTTATTGCCATCAACGAAAAAAAAACTTTCAGACTTTTCTCAGAATAATTCATATTTTTAAGATTAATATATTACAATCATTTTCTTGTTCTTTGACTTCATATTTAAAATCAGGTTTGATTTTATATCCTACAAGTTTTATAGCGGTGTGCTTAGTTTTAGGAGACATGCTTGGTTTAGATATTTTAGGGGACAAGCTCGGCTTCATACTTTTAGGAGACACAACAGGTCTGGCATTCTTAAGAAGCAAGTTTGAATGTATTTGCAGTCGTTTAGGAGACGAGCCTAGTTTTGACATTTTAGGAGACTCTTGAGGTTTTATCTTAATCGGAGAAGTCTCTACAACAGACCCTTTGGGTGATAAACTTGGTCTAACTTTGAATTGACCAATTTTAGTTTTCATGACAGTTTTCTTTTTAATTGTATGCTTCTTAGGTGTACTCGTGTCTGTCGTTGATTTGAAATTTTGATCAACAAAGTTTTTGTATGTATCGTTGAATGATGGGGATGATTGTATTAAAGTCTTTTGTAATGGTGTCGATGGCAATGATTCCACAGCCTTTTTAGCAACAGTCTTATTTAATACTGTTTTGTTAAATAACGAATCGTTTTTTATATTTTCACCGTTTTCTTCGTCTAATTTGTTAAGTTTCACATCTTTTTTGACTGATTCCGCTTTGCGTTTAGCGGGATATGTTCCTACTTCTGATAAAACTGCAGTTATTTGATTGTCAGTCAAACTCTTGTTTACAACGGTTTGGTCTTCTAGTCCCACATTGTTTAACACTAGAGTCATCTCTAGCGCTTTGTCAAGTAAAGTATATAAGACACCAACATCACCCTTGGGAGCGCTAGCCATGACATTATTCATAATACTTTTTAATTGTTGGTGAACGTGTTCATAAGAGTCAACGTGTTGGATATCAATATCTTTTAAGAACGGTAATATTGAGTTAGTCTTGTACTTCAACTGTGGCAAGTCTAAACATGAATGTCCGAAGTGTTCTTTATAATATATGACTTGATAACCGTTATTGAGTTCCGTGACAATTAACGATGATGGGCAGAGCAATGATTTGTCCGTTTCAATGGGAGGCTGATGAGAGCAATGATATATATGCTTTGAGTTATCCACTGAAGGTGCCAGGGTTTGGAATTTAACTTTAGTGACAGCCTCTAAATCTGATTTCCAGGTTGTGAATTCTGAAAATTAAATAAAAATCAGGTCAGGTAAGCAATCCCCATGTTCTAGAATATTATTATTAAATGTATTATTGAAACTTATCGGTAAAGTAGTTAAGTTGCTACTTTTTCTAAACTTCAATCATTTAATTACTGAAAAACCCGAACAACCGTCAATACTAAGATTTACCAGCAAAATCTAAGATTTACCAACGAGTTATTGTAAAAGTAAATGTCGATAAACAGCCAACAATAGAGGGGATCTGGCACTTTAATGGTCATTGTTTAACCTAACATTACCCAAATTTAACTTTAAAGTATTTATTGTTTGCTTCCCATAACCAACATTGGCCAACTGCCTCTGGTAAAACCTGGCATGTACCAGTTTATTAAGTCCGAAAATTGTTCCCCTATTTATTAATACTTACATTTACCAACTCCTGCTGGTAAATATGCTTATCTTAAATTGGTAAAACCCAAGGTAGTTCGGGCTTTTACAATAATATACATATAGATTTTGATTTGGCGCCCAAAAAGGTGGCATACACTGTTATCCATCAATTCCTAAAGTGGTAAATTACGTATGATTAAAATTAAAGCGGGACTTTAACACTTCGTACGTCTTCGTGTATTGCAGTGTTAGTATTTTAATCTGTTTTCAACCAAATTTGTGAAAAAGAAAGTGCTAAATTATACTTTTAAAATGTAAAGAGGTCATAAAATCTTGTACTTTTGATATTAGCCTTAATTTTTAAAAATTAGAAAAGATGCTTTAAGAACAATTAAATTGCCAAACGTCAAGCAGCTGGCGGGCCATAAAAGAAAAAGCTATTTTGAAATAAAATACAGGTGTGAGTGAAAGAGTCGAGTCGAAGATGTCGAGTGATATAGGAGAGCTATCATTTTTTAAAGTATCATAACAGAACTAACATTCTAGATTAGATTTGAAATACAATCAAATACAAAACGAAGACAAACCAGCATTGCTCGGGAAGTACAAACAATCTGCTTGCAACGCATGCAGCACTTTTACATGCTGTTCAAACAGGGCAAGACTGTCAAATGTTTTTTGGCATCCCAAACACATAAAGCGATCCATTCTCTCTTGTGAAACCTCGGTGCAAACATGTTCTTCTGATATTGGTAAGAATTTATTACAGCAATCGAACAGTTCCACACGGATTGGCCGGATCAAGTCGGAAGAGTTTGGTTGTCTGTAAATATGACAAGGTTATTTTAATGTTATTTTGAATGTATTGCAATATCGGTAAATCTACTGAAGATAACTTTAAATTTATCGCAGAGCACATCAATATGTAGAAAATTACATAACTATTTTTATCTCATTCATATTGCTTTTAACAATTGTTACTTTGTAAAATAGTCCAAAATTAAATTATACTTTAAAGTTTTTTAGAGTAAATAAGTTGATGGGTCAACTGATGGTAAACTACGACGGTCTCCCATAGACATCTGTAATCCAAGCATGATGCAGATCTCTGAATTGGTCTAGTATTTACAAATAATACCTATAGTCCATCTAATCTAAGAGGTATCGTTTGACAGTTTTGACAGATTGAAGTATGGTGGTAGGGTCAAAGAAATTGATTACTAAAAAACTAATTCTTTAGAGATTTCGTATTTAAGTGTATTTGAAGAGCACATCTCTTGGGTATAAATTTGTTATATTGCTGTTTCAAAGATTAAAATTTAGTCATTAAGAACTGTATATCTTGCGAAGAAATAAAAATAGCTACACACCTCCATGGTTTTATGGAAAAGTTAATTGAAATTGTGTGAGTTACACATATACAAAGTTGTTAGTTGTTTCGTCTTGGAACATCAAACGGTATCTCTTAGATTAGATGGACTATAGGGTTGGTTAGTTAAACCATTTGTAACTGGAGAATGGCTGAACTGCTTTTTATGATATTTGATCTTCCATCCAGAATGGTAAAATAACTTCATAAAATCAATTATAAAGAACATTCATTTTGTCATACATTGTGTATGATATCTAATATGAATAAAATAGCAGGCAATTACTAGTATTATCCTGAAAATACTAATACTTACACAGGTAAGTCATTTTTATCAACACAGTGGCTTTTCTGTATATGTCTGTAAGCAGAGAAGTATACACTGAATACCTTAATGCACCTTGGGCATTTAAACTCAATTCTCTTCTTAGTTGTACTTCTCTTATTTTTAGAATCCTTAACTGCAGTTACTTTTAAATCATTTTTGTTCGTAACTTTCGAAGATGGCTCCTCCGCGCCTATTTTTGAATAAGTTTTGTTATCAGTGCTTTTCGTAATTACTTTTGAGTCTTGTAAATCTGGTGGCTTTTTAACTGACACACGCTTGGTTTCAATAGATGTTTTATGCACGAATTTGCGATGCGAAATCAACGCTCTGTGGTTAAGGAATTTACGACCGCACACCTCACATTTACACGATTGACGCCGCAATTTCAGCTTTTCGGGTGCTTTTGCTCCCATTTTGTAAACAGCATTTGCTTCCACAATCGCATATGAAATTTTATTACGGAAAAATCTAAATATCTTCCTTATGTTCGCTTTCGAGCGGAATACACATTTGAGAGATCGCGTTCCAGACAAAAGCAACATTATACCTTTGAAATCAATTTACATGTTGCTGTTTTGTCCAATAAGCAACTGCTTTTGGAAGAAAGGGAAAGAAATAATACGAATGTTGAAAGCTAGATGGGTAGTATGAAACGTAGCATACATGACGCGCTTTCGAAATGTCAAACTTGGCGTTTTGTAAATTGTTTTTTATTTCGTTTAGAAATAGAAAGTTTATTCGTGTCATTTCCTGAGATAATGAATTTTTGTAAGCATTATTATGCAACTGAAGATCATTCTCGATAACTACGTACTTGTGATGTTTAGATATGAATTAACATTATTGATAGTCCCCTAAAGAGAGTTGCTTCGTAATTTTATTTATCAAATAGAAACGTGAATTCCTTTAATGCCCTCTGATTACCTCTTTAAGTGTAACTGTTGCATTATAATTAGGCTTGCAACGAATATTCGGTTACTATTCGGTATTCGGCCTATTCGGCTGCTTTTATTATATTCGGCCGAATACCGAATATCTACATATTATTCGGCCGAATACCGAATACTTAAATAATATATTTTGTCATTGAGAAATAATTGGTAAAATGAAAAATTAAAATCGATTGATTACGTATATATTCATATTTTCATTTCTGTTATAATCATTTAAATAGTCATTGGTGCATAACACAGGTACATAATCATCTTCTGAATAGGAAAAATGGAGGATTGTATGTATTTGAATTATTGTGGTAATCAAAATTTAGAAGGGTAAGGTTCTCATTTCTTTTATAATCATTTATTAAGTAGTCATTGGTACATAAAACAGGTACATAATTTAATTCACGTCTGTACAAGTTTTTGGCGCTAAAATCCAGCCGAATACTTTTGCCTAATATTCGGCTATTCGGTCAGGGGCCTCGCCGAATATTCGGTATTCGGTATACTGCCGAATATACTATTCGTTGCAAGTCTAATTATAATAAATAAATCTACTGCTTGTTATAGGCGTCTGCTGAATATAACCTCCTTTCTAAGGAGAGCCTTAGAAAGGAGGTTATATTCAGCAGAGGCCTATATATATATATATATATATAGGTTTTGGCCTAGGTACTATACCACTCTGACCAGACGGGTTGGTATAGAGTTTGTTTCAAGTTTACGTTCACTTTGCAGTGATGTTGTACTACGTAGTTTACTCCCTTAGTAGGTTCATGTATGTTTGCAAAGTCCCCCGCGACATAGGATTTATTCCTGGTGGGGGAGTTGTCTTTTAACCCTTTAAATCGTTAATATTCTTTAAAAGTTAATTATTTAGGATTAGGATACTTAAAACGGTACCAAAGGCAGTCCTTTTTAAACGAAATGGCTTGCTACGAAATACCTATTTTACGCAATCTGTCTGCTTTGCGGCGTTGTAGGTAATGATTGAATACTTACGTCTAATAATAAGCGAGTCAGAGCGAGACCTTGTCACACGCGAATATTAAATAATAGAAAATATTAATCAAATTTTTCTCAGAATTATAATTTAAGGCCCTCTTGCACCGCAGTGTGTAAGTGTGCAAACGTTACCTCAACCTTCGCTAACGTATCGTAGGCAAAGGCGCAGTGTCTCAAAAAGCTGCGCGAGTCGCACGACTCATCTTAAGTCCAGACTCGAGCGGGAAGGACGCAAAGGGCAGCAACGCACTTTTGACTTTTAAGTTGCAGGTGTCCCTGGGCGACACACACGATATACTTTTCTAACTTTCTTACGCTACACTGTGGCAAAATATCTTTTTTTTTTTACGGTATAAGGGGCAAACGAGCAGTCGGGTCATCTCATGGAAAGCGACCATTGCCGCCCATGAACGTCTGCAACTCGGAAGTCACAAACGCGTTGCCGGCCTTTCAGGAAGGAGTACGCTCTTTTTCTTGAAGGTCGTATCGGTCCGAAAATACCGCAGACGATAACCCGTTCCACAGATTGGTTGTGCGGGAAAAAAGTGTCTCGAAAAGCGCACAATAGTGGACCACCAACTATCCACGTGATGAGGATGTAAATTTGGCCGTTGTGGAACGATGGCGGAAAGTTGCGGCTGGTATTAGTTCGAACAACTCCTCGGAACACTCTCCATGATTTATGCGATAGAGAATGCAGAGGGAAGCCACATCTCTACGTAACGCCAAGGGATCTAGCCGATCGGAGATGTTTGGGCTATCGACGATTCGAGTCGCTCTTCATTAGAGGCGGTCACTCCGGATCCTTAGATTATATGTTTAATTTTCATGCACAATAAATGCGTATTAGTGTATTTATTTCTCTTCAAAAAAGTGCAAAATCGCTGCAACCTTGTCTTAAACAGCTTGTTTCGGTTTTCAGCACTCCGACCCTTACACTCTGTATATTATTATTTTTCAACTGATATATCTTACACGCGGGCGTCAGATCCTTAACTAGTCAATAAGTCAGTACTACCTACTATGATAACCAGACTACTGATAAATTTACTTGTATATTTCTTTATTTAGAAATGTAAATATTACAGATAAAGCCAGACATAACAAATGCTGATCATGACACATTTTCTACATCTTATTTTTAAAAAATTTCTGTTTGATGAATCTCATTACACTCTGCTAGCTACCACTAAGTTAATCATTTAGAATTGGAGGCCTAGCGAAGCGTAACACAGAAACTATGTATAGGAAAGTAGCCAGGGATGAAAATATATATATATATATAAATACTAACTGACCCAGTGAATTTCGTACCGCTTTGGTGACATAACGACAGCAGCGCCACCTCCCTGGTCCAATTGTTTTCAAACCATCCAGGAACTTATTGAAATATAAATACAAAATTTCATCCAAATTGGTCCAGCGGTTAAGGAGGAGTTAATACAAACACACGTACAGAAGAATTATATACATATATTAAGATAGCATAGGGACTATCAATGTTTATTAATTTCGGTACTATTGCAAATCAACAATATTATTACCACATTTTGTGTTATCAATAGTCATATCAATATTCCAACTATTACTGCAGTATTTATAGACTATCGGTTATCAGTTGCCTATCAATTGGAAAAATATCTAGTCAACTCTATAATTATCCGGGCATCCCTTTAACAGTCCTCTGCTAGTCATAGGCCTCACCTTAACCACCTCACGTATAGGTTTGTTTCAAGTTTTGCGTTTCTTTGCAGTGCTGTTGTTCAGCCTATTTTGCTCCCTTAGTCAGCTCAGAGGAAAGCTGCAGTTTGTTAGGTAGAACGGGTTTATCTCAGAAACTACTGATTCGAATTGAAAAATTCTATTAGTGTTGCTGATTTTTCGAGGAAGTCTATAGATAGGCTAGAAAACATTATGCTAACCAATAGCAGCAGAGCATTAATAAAAAGTGTTGCAAAAATGATAAAAGTTTATTCCTTTTGATAGAGGCCGACAAAGTTGTGCAGGTGAGCTAGTTATAAATAAAAGAAAATTATTAATAATAAAATTTATTCTTCCATTTCTTTTATTCCCCATAATTTAATTTCATCTTCACATGCAGATATAAAACTATTGTCAGTTGGATGGTGTGTTATTGAAACCACGGGTCTATTTTTACTATGCAAATATTTCTTCACACAAATACTACTTATTAAATCATAATAAAAAATTTCTCCTGTGGCCGAGCCAGAGACAATATGACTATCTGTCGCATTCACAGCGTTCTCTAACAAATAATCTTTACTTTCATGACCTACAAATGTGTTTAAAATTTCCCCAGAGTCTTTATCAAAAAGTTTTATTGTACTATCTGCACAGCTTAAAATATAACATTGGCCATCTCTTGTAAGGCTTCCAAATGTGACAATATGACCAATATAATCAGATACCATTTTGCCCATTCGAATGTCATATAACCTAACATGACAATCAACTGATGTAGTCAAAACTTCATGGTCAGTTACTTGGATTGATGTGATTGTGTCCTTTGCATCTTTTAAAACTTGTACCGGTTCTTGTCTACGGCTTATCACATCCCAAAAAGCGACCGTGTTGTCTATGGAACCGGAAACTGCCATCGAAGATTCTTCATTGAATTTTATACAAGTTACTGAACTGGCGTGTACACGATATCGTCTTATGGGTTGTCCTGTAGTAACATCCCATAGAATTACTGATTTATCAGCACTACCAGATATTATATGACTGCTGTCACATGACCCCGCAGCATCTAACACCTCGTTTGCATGTCCCCCATAAGTTTTTAGCAAAATTTGACGATGAGGATTCCATAGGTTTATTTTCTTGTCCGCTCCGCAAGTGAGACAATACACGCCGTCTACGTTGAATCGTACGGCACGAACAACTTGTTGCTTGCACTTTATTGTAGCCAACGTTTCTAATTCAGTCATGTTATTATTTAAATTATAAACACGCCGGTAAACAACATTCCTTGTTTTGATAACAATTATGACAGTAGGGATGACGATCTGGAAACGATTAATCGATTAATAATCACAATTTGTAGCATTAGATTTATTCAGCGACTCGATATTTCATCCTAGAAAATCGATTCTCGATTTTTTCTGTTTTGATAAAAGCCAAAAAATGATTTCCAGGTCGTTGAATGTACTCAACATAAATATAGAACATATTTAGATTAGAGAAGCCCAAATTTAAAGGAAACCTTACATGCCTCTATAAGAGTTCATCACAACGAGTTAATACCGAGTTCCTCGTTGGTGTCGCTTATGCAGCTACTCTATTCACTATGCTACTCGACAGACGCTTTCACTTAATTATGTAATTATAACAATGAAGTAAGTGGGTAAGAGTTGTTTCTCAAAAAGTTAGACATCAAACATTGAGAACTATAAGCTATATAAAATGTATAAAATATTTTCTAAACTTTTTAATATAACAAGTAAACGACAATGGCAGGCATGTATGGGACTTTTGTGCCACTTTACGTATCTCATGGTAGGGATTATTGTTGTATCTATTTAGCTACTAATAATATCACTGACAATTAAATTTTTTTATTACCAGATATTTAAAACTTGGGGTTCAAAAGTTATTTCACTTTGTAGTTTACATATAAACTGTACTGAAGTCGATAACCATGACAGCTTGCCATTGCTGTCAACCTCTACAAATTAACTTAGCGTATGTATCGCATCAGTCGCATCCTTGTCCAGTTGAAGACGTCATCTCGCAGAAGGAGGCGGCGGAGAGAGCCTGTAAGGATGATCTCCACTCGAACCCATTTCGCCGCAAACAAACCGGTTGGCGGAGGCGCGCTTGCCAGCGCCTCATGCCACCTTGAGTGTGGCCGCGGGTGGACGGGACGGGTTTTCTCCTCCACCCGCTATAACGGCCAGCCTCCAGGCAGGAGGCGAAGTTAGCGTATGCCAGACGTCGCCTAAATAGAGAATTCACACGAATTTGCGGCCCGCGCCGTTGCGCGTTGCGTTTAGGAGGGGTCCGGCTATCTTAAAAACAGCAGTTCCCCGATCCCTGCTATTACAGGCGCAAAGTGACACACCGTGTAGTTTTAGTCGGTCCGATTCCGACAGACAAAAAAAAACAAACGCGTTTAAACAATCAAATAAACAATGAAACTCTTCAGCTTTATAATATTAGTATAGATAAGAGATCGGTTATTATGGTACCTTTCTTATTATCCAAAAAAATTACAATATATATGCAGACACAAAAAAAAAATCTTAGGAAATCGAACTTTCATACCTTGATTTTTTGTGGATCAATTCATAAGCTTGAAGATTTGAATCGATCTCAAATTGATGTAATTCGAAAAGCTTCGCAATCCCTATTTGACATATAAATTTTGACATTTCAACTCCAACTTATTTAAAACGTTCAAAAATTACGGTGGTTTATGACAATTACCGAAATGATAAATTTATTTTCTTTAAATTTAATATTATTGTACAATTGGATATTAATTTCATAAATTTTATATTTTCAATTTACTACAATTTTTAAGTATTTAAGTCAGTAAAATACATTGTATTTTTCATTTTGATAAAAGAGCTGCCTATTAGCTAGTTTTTGAACTACTATCATCCTTAACGCCATCTATCGGTATTGTTACACATTGCCTCAAATACCGCATTGCCCATTCGGACGTCCGTATAACAATTTATTATGTACCATTGCTTAGCTTGCATTAGTCTGTTTACATTGACACAGTGCCTTAGTTCTGTATAGTCGTAAAGTATTATGTGTACATTTGTACGTAACATGCCTACTTTTATAATTGATGCCTGACTGAAACCTTGTGCTTCAACAAGGTTTCAGTGCATCACTAGTAAAAGCAGGCATATTGTTTGCACGTACTCACTTTACGATAGGTATATTTTTATGCCGACCTTTTAGTACGGAGATGCTTAGTCAAGGCTTTGTGGAGTATGAGAGGCTTAAATTGACCTGCTTTATATACATAAGTAGATTTATGATGTTATGTAAAAAACGATAATAGAACTAACTTAAGTTATTGGTAAAGACATTAAATTTTAATAATTTTTACAATTTGTTTGTAAATATTGTTTCGGTGGTAGGTTCCATAATCAGGAGGTGCAGGGGTTCCTGCTTGAACATCGTCCACTGCTGAACGAAGGCCTCCCAAGGAGCGTCAATTATCTTGGTCTTGGGCAGTTCCCTTTATTTTTCTCCAGTTAGTCCAGTCGTTGACTAGGCAAACGTAGTATGGGGCGTATAACCTGCTTGAACAGCGAAATATGTACATGCAAATATTTGCATGTAGTAAGTCCTACTACACTACAAATCATAAGAAAATGATAAAAAACGAGCGAACCTTAGAGTAGTCAAATCTGATGGGTATCACGTGATATCTCACCTATCATCGGACGAAGAAGTCTAGCGCCGCGCGCTCATACTGCTGCTTGCCTGCTACATACTTTCGTCCCTTTTCACTAAATCACTCGCACAGATTGCAGGAAATATAGATCATTTGTTTCATTGTCTTTTGGGTTTTGCTGATGTTTAAGAAAGTTGAATACTCCATCCCCTAGGAAGGAGTATAAACTGGACCTTGTAGAGGGAGCTGGTAGAACTTTTAAGTTAACAGATATTAAAATCTCCGTCCATGGTCCGTGTGGTGACGGATTAAGAATACGGAGTGTTACCACCCCTGTTCATCCCGTGGGTGTCGTAAGAGACGACTAAGGGAGCAAACTATACCGGACAACAGCACTGCAAAGAGAAGGAAAACTTGACACAAACCCTATACCAACCCGTCTGGCCAGCGTGGTATAGTAGGCCAAAACCTCATTTCTAAGGAGAGGCCTATGTCCAGCAGTGGACTATTAAAGGCTGTTGATGATGATGATAAAAATCTCCGTATATTTACGAAATATCGCAGTCATAAAACCTCCTAGTTTAACGATAAGTTTCACCCGTGTGAAAGTACTTTTCAATCCCTCGTAAACAGTACTTGGTTTGGATGGAAAAATGAATATTTTCCCGATTACGTGTTTACAAATTTTATTGTAATCGGTTCAAAAGTACGGCAGTTCAAAAATTATAAAAATATATTAATTACGAGATTTAGAAAGTGTGATAATCGAATGCTTTTTGATAATAGTGATAATCATCTAAATTAATTTTTTTAATTTATGTTTATCACAACTGTTTTGTAGCCCAAGAATATCTCTTTTGCCGACATTATCAAAAAACGGAATAAAAGGCGGCAAAATAATGTCTCTGTCGTAGACAATGATATATATATATTTAAAACTTAATGCCCAGGGCACAGGCGGACTTAATGCCTAGGGCATTCTCTGCCAGTCGGCCTTCGGGTGATATAGAAAAATGATGCGGTAGGTGCAAAAGAGATATTTCACTCTCGTACAATAACAGTTTATCATAAAGAAGGTTATATTTTAGTAAGCTACTCTAATGGAAAACATTTAAAATAAAACTTTACAAATGATTAATAGTTAAAACATACATATACTCAGACCTGCACCCGAGAGAACCGTATTAAAGCCTAAATGCTCGGCCTAGGCACAGGCCAAAATGGTCGGTTTAGGGCCTAGGACGCTTACAATGGTGATAGTAGGCCAAAGGCGATGACTCCTTTGGCGTACTGTCACCACTGTGAGTGTTGTAAGAATCTACTAAGGGAGCATTCCAATAACCCAAAATAGTAACAGTAAAAAAAACTGCCCATCAGCTGTCACAAAAAAGGTATGTACCTTTTTTTCGTAAAGTAGAGACTTTAAAGAGATCCCGCTAATCCCGATTGGGATAGATTGGGATTGGGGTTATGATGAGCGTCGGGAGAGCCTTATATCCAGTAATAAATTGATTAGTTATTAACACATCAACAACATCACTTATTTATAGCAGTAAAACGAAGGTAAAACCTTTAAAAACAACAATGTCAGTGAGCGAAGTAAACACCTAACTGTCTTAAGTCCAGTATTATATAGCCTGCTTAGTACATATTTTAATTTACTTACTTCCCAAAAACGATAAGCCTTTTAGCCTAGTAATGCTGCAGAGTTCGAAAACGGGTCAGTACGGTGCCGCATGCAGTGAACATAATGCGGACAATGTATCTGAGCGTTGGAAGTAGGAAACCAGAGACAATTTACTTGTTTTGTATTTTTATTCATTGACATAAGTTTGCGCGGTAAATTGTGTTATTTTAATTGAACAACAAATTATAATTATAAAGTTTTTAACCGACTTCAAAAAGGAGGAGGTGATCAATTCGGATGTTTATATTTTTTTATGTGTGTTCGGGCATAACTCCGTCATATATAAATGGATTTTCAAACTTATTTATTTGTTCGAAAGGGGTTTACCGAAATGGTTCCATTTAAATACCATATAGATCTGATAATGAGTTTCGGAGACAGACAAATCAACCATGATTGCTGCTAGGTTTTTAGTGCTCTTTGTTAGTATTGTTTGAAGTCGGTTAAACTGTTTTTAGGAAGGTTTTTCTTGTTAAACTATCTGTTATGATTTGTTGCATCAACATTTATTGTTATTAGGTTTTTATTAATTTAACGTTTGAATTAAGTTATTGGTGTTAAAAAGCGGAATAGTAGATGATAGTTGTAGAATTTTAGGAAAAAAATATAAATTTTGACCCGCTTTTTTTCTTTCGGTGATCATCTTGTTTTTACAATGAACTGTGAAGTAACGATGTAGTAAAGATGGTAATGAAACCCCCCCTATATGATATTTTAAAGTTAAAAATGTGGTTTGACAAAGATAGAGTGAAGAGTAGGAGTGCCATACAAGTAGTGCGGGAGTTGTCCTTAAAAAACAATATGGGGTATACCAATAAGAACGTCCTGGTTTAAAAATTGAATAAAACACACAATTTTTTATGGAAAATGCATCCGATTGATTT